AGCTGAAGTAGCCCTGCAAGGTTGCTTTGAAGCTGCAGACTGGGATGCACTGGTAGAGATGGTGTAGATAACACCATCCCTACCAGAACAGTAGAATGCTTCCCAAATAATAAAACATGGATTACAAGTGGTCTGAAGCAATTGCTCAGCAAGAAAAAACCAAGCCTTTAAGAAGGGACACAGGGAATTATTGAGGAGTGTTCAGAAGTAACTGAGGTTCAAGATAAGAGGAAGCAAGTAGGCATAGAGGAAAAGGTTGGAAAACTAGATCCAGCAGAACTATATCTGTGATCAGGGGTGATGAACATAACAGGCCTCAAGCAGAAGGAGGATCATACAGATGGAAGTATGGACAGAACCAATGAACTGAATACATTATTCAACAGATTCAGTTCAGGAACAAGCTCAACATCTTTCTTTCCTGCCCAAAGTCACACGGACATCCTGCCCTCCTCTGCCATTGACTCTCCTGTTTCTATTAGTTTGTTATCAGCCAAATCAGAAGATGGTGCTGCTCCCTCAATCTTTCACCTGTCTATCTCTAGAAATCAAGTGAAGAGGCCATTGGAGAGACTGAATCATAATAAGTCTCCAGGTCCTGGTGGCGCTGACCCAAGAGTTCTGAAGGCCTGTGCAGAGCAGCCCTGTGTGATTATACAGCATTTCTTCACCATTAGTCTGACCCCGGAGAAGTTCCAGTGATGTGGAAGACCACCTGACTTGTTCCAGTGCCAAAGAAAATTCAGCCAACAGTCCTCAGTGACTATCGGTATGTTGCCCTGACATCCCACAACATGAAGGTCCTAGAAATACTTCTGTTGGTTCACCTCAGCAGACCAACAAGCAGCCGTCAGAACCCCTTGCAGTTTGCTTATTGCCATGGCGTTGGAGCTGATGATGCCATCATTGACGTTATTCAACAAACCTGATTTCTCCCCGGGCTCTCCACAATGGCAGCCCACTACTCCCCAAGGGGATGGGTTAAATGCAGAGGTAAATTTCACCAATGTAAGATCAATAAAGTTAAATTAAAAATCAATAAAAAAAACACTGTCATTTAGATAAGGCAGACTGCACTGTGAGGACCATGTTCTTTGATTTATCTAGTGCATTTAACACAATTCAGCCTGACTTACTTTATGAGAAACTTCAGAAGGCTCAGGTGGAGGCATCAACTACCACCTGGATCAAAAACTGTTTTTTGACAGTTTGTTAGACTGAAGGGTCAACTGTCTAATCAAGTAGTCAGTAGCACAGGAGCGCCACAGGGGATAGTACTCATCTAGAACCTCTGGAGATGATTTCACAAAGAAGGATTCTTCATAAAGTGTAGAGCATTATAGACGACAGTGAGCAGAGATCATTTTTAAACAACAGTGTCTTTCGTAAGAGGCTTTTCCAGATCCAGTGCAAGATAAACCAATACAGAAGATCCTTCCTTCCTACAGTGATCAACACCAATAATACCGTTTAAAAAATAATGTATGATTTACTGCAACATTTATATCCCTTTGGGATTAATAAAGTGATTTTTGAATTTAATTGATTTCTACTTCAATCCACTTTATAATTAATTATAGAAAGGTTTATTCTGGAGACTCAAAATTATCTAATTGGTTTTGTGTTCAATTCTTACTAGTTAAAACTGAAACTGAAATTCTTTTTTGCCTTTAAAGCTAACACCCCCTCTGGCTTCATGATCAAACAAAAAGAAATTGTTTAACATAATTTCCCTGATTTATAATCTAAACTGCAGAGAGTTTGCATGATAGATGAATAAGATAGATGAATGGATTTATAGTGCAATATCATATGTAAAAAACATGAATGCACTTAATTATTACATCTGTCTTTTATAGCCTGTGTAAATTTTTGGTGATCCCATTCATGGTGGCCACAGAACAGGCGTAAATTGGAAGGTAACGGGAATTTCACTCCGTTTTTTTTGTAAAGATGATTCGACACCTATTCAGGGATCCATTTTATAGAGCAGGTTTACTAAAAAGTATACGTTTTTTAACCTGGTCAGGAGCAGGTGTTGTTCAGTAAACTCAGAATGTTCTCTGTCTCTGCTCTCCTTAGAGCCAACCATGTTTTATTTCCTGATTTAGGAGATTTGTTTTCGTAGTTTTGTGCATACAATAAAATTCTCGGTCAGTTAGACATTGATCCTTTAAACAACGATCCAATTAAAGAATGATTGGCATTAATTCAAGGAGAATACAGGGANATGTCTGAGCCACCTCACTGACTCCTCTCGATGTGGAGGAGAACCGGCTCTACACTGAGCCTCTCCCGAATGACCGAGATCCTCACCCTATCTCTAAGGGAGAGCCCAGCCACCCTGCGGAGAAAGCTCATTTCAGCCGCTTGTAACCAGGATCTCGTTCTTTCGGTCATGATCCAGATTTCATGACCATAGGTGAGTGTAGGAACGTAGACCGACCGGTAAATTGAGAGCTTTGCGTTTTCGCTCAGCTCTCTCTTCACCATGACAGACCGGTGCGGCTGTCTCCATTCTTCCCTCACTCGTGAACAGGACCCCAAGATACTTGAACTCCTCCACTTGAGGCAAGGACTCTCCTCCAACCAGAAGGGGACAAGCCACCTTTTTCCGGTCGAGAACCATGGCCTCGGATTTGGAGGAGCTGATTCTCATCCCGGCCGCTTCACACTCGGCTGCGAACCGCAGCCGAGTGTGAAGCGGCCAAACTTGATATTTTGATGTTCAATTTTTACTTCCATGTTTATATTGTTGTATGCTTGCTTTAATTTAACTGTTGGCTGAACAAAGTTCACATTGACTTTAACCCTTAAAAGTAAATGTTTAATATTTGGATTACTCACTGCAATTATTGCAACATTTGTGTTTTGCATACATATTACTGTGAGTCTTTTCATTCATTTAAAATATTGCAGTTAAGAAACATTTTTTGAAAATAGTTTAGAATGAAGTTGTGAATTTTTATAAAGAAAAAATAATACAAAAAGAAGTAAATGTTATTACTTCTTATAAACCCAAGAAACATCATTTTGAAATTTTAAAGTGCCTTTGTTTTGTTTTTGGTGAACAGCACCGAAACCACATACCTGTAGACGTTGTTCAAGGTCAGGGAAGACCTGTGAAAGTTCCTCCACATCTTTGATATCTAAAGACCAGAAAACATACTTCTGTTAGAAAATATTGCTAATAAAGCTGTGAATCACACCTTCAGATAATTACACACATGTAGTCATTATATGATTTATAGGACAATATAATATATTTAGGTAAAGTGTTTATAGAACAGATTAGAATTCCAGAATCCAATCAGATCAACAAAACTGTTTTAGGATAGAGAAAGATTTTTGCCTATAAAAACTTATTGGCACATTCAATCTAAACAAATTAGTATTATGTCTTAATCATTTGACTATAACAGTTTAAATTTAAGAGTTTTCTCAAAAATAATAAAATTCCTACATCTCTTAAGTAAGACCTCCTCTTGAGAAGTGAGATCACAATCTTATTTTCTCTGCTCAGATTATAAGCTACTTTATAAGAGACGACCTGCATAAAAAAAACTAAGGAGATGGTCAAATGAAGCTGAAGTAGCCCTGCAAGGTTGCTTTGAAGCTGCAGACTGGGATGCACTGGTAGAGATGGTGTAGATAACACCATCCCTACCAGAACAGTGGAATGCTTCCCAAATAGTAAAACATGGGTTACAAGTGGTCTGAAGCAATTGCTCAGCAAGAATAAAACAGGCCTTTAAGAAGGGACACAGGGAATTAATGAGGAGTGTTCAGAAGCAACTTAAGTTCAAGATAAGAGGAAGCAAGTAGGCTTACAGGAAAAGGCTGGAAAACTAGATCCAGCAGAACTATATCTGTGATCAGGGATGATGAACATAAATGGCCTCAAGCAGAAGGAGGATCATACAGATGGAAGTCTGGACAGAACCAATGAACTGAATACATTATTCAACAGATTCAGTTCAGGAACAAGCTCAGCACGGGAATTTCACTCCGTTTTTTTTTGTAAAGATGTTTCGACACCTATTCAGGGATCCATTTTATAGAGCAGGTTTACTAAAAAGTATACGTTTTTTAAAACTGAAATCAGGGAAACTCTGAGTTTTCCTTTTACAAAGAGATTCAACTTCTGTTTCTGTTACCACAGTAACATTCTCCCTAGAGCTAACCTGGTCAGGAGCAGGTGTTGTTCAGTAAACTCAGAATGTTCTCTGTCTCTGCTCTCCTTAGAGCCAATCATGTTTTATTTCCTGATTTAGGAGATTTTTTTTCGTAGTTTTGTGCATACAATAAAATTCTAGGTCAGTTAGACATTGGTCCTTTAAACAAAGATCCAATTAAATAATGATTGGCATTATTTCAAAGAGAATACAGGGAGAGGATATAGACTACTCAGAGCTCACTTTAATAGTCATCAACTTTTGATGAATTTTGATTGGGAATTTAATTTGGCTGCATAAGATATACAGCAAGGAGAATTTCAAACTTTTTTAATTACAAAACCAGTTTTAAGATACCGTAACAATCAAGATTAAAAGTTATAGAATATTGTACTTCTTATAACTTTAAACCAACATCTTATTCAAATCTTAAGTATACAGTCACTCTCTAATGAATTCACATAATACACAGCAAACTATATTTCATAAAAACAATGCTGCATGTACCATTAAACGATTGAACTTGGTCTCTGTCTTTTTATGGAAAATATTGACACTGTAGGGCCTCTTGTGTAACACAACAACATAGTAACAATGCTGCAATTCTTAATGAACCCTGTCCTCCGACTAAGCAGCGGTAGTTAGCTGCCAGGCTGAAAGACATGCAAGTTAAGAATACAAGGAAACAATTGTTGTACAGCTATGGGCTGGATGATCATCCAGGCCAGATGTAAAGTCAAACAGAGATTAAGAATGGCAAGAAGCCAGACAGAATCAGACAGGTTGTCTGTACCCTCCTCTGCTTCGGTAGTGATGTATCCCCTTTCCAAGATTTGTGGAACATGTGCAGAATCATTGAGTGATGCAACCTTTAAAAGCAGGAGTATTAGTGGGGAAGCCTACAGCCAATTATGAAGTGGAATAAATATGGTTCTCATGCTTTGGATTGACACAGTGTTAGGTTAGAACTATGTCAGGCATGAAGTCATGGAGGGTCTAAACGATGATCCTTAGATGAAGCCATGCTCATCTCTCCCCCACTGTGAAACATGAGCTCAAAGATACAATAACATGATCTTAGAGAATCCAAAATTTCCACTGGTAAGATTGTGCTTATGTAGCTCTGATAGTGTTCGTACAATTGCCTTGCGAGAGTCACATTCATTTAATGAGCTCGGTAAATGACCTCTCAGACACAAATTTAAAGTCACTGTTCCTGGTATAGCTCTTCACATTGCTGCCTAAGAGAAAGAAAGACCAGGGAGAGAGGGATTAAGGATGGGGGGAGTTGAGCTGGAAGTGTTAACTACTTATAAATATAGGCCAGTGTTCTAAAAGCTGAACGGTGAATCAGGCACCAAGATACTGTTAGTATTATAAGAGAAACCTGACTCTGGCATTGCAAGGCTGCAGCTGCTGTCCCAGTGCCTGACCCTACTGCAGTAAAACATCCTGACAGACAGCACCTAACCTGAGAGGTATGTTCTTTAAGCTTAATATATGTGTGCAGGTGGTAGTCAAGGAGTTATTAAGAAAACTGACATTACACTCTGCTGTAAAATCATTGAGACTTTCTCCAAATATTTACATCCACAACAAGTTCTATTTGATAGACTGATGTGAATGGAGAGCATAATTTTAAAGAGGCTAAAAATGGAAACAAAACAAAAAAAAACAAAAACAACAAAAAAAAACATCTTCCCTTTGATTCCCCTTAATAAATCCCAGTTATGACAGTTCCCTTCAGAGGTATCTTGATTAGTGGACATTTTTTGTGTTTAATTTAATCTCTGTACAAATACAGCTCTTCTGTGGTGGCCTCAGAGGTTCGTTAAAGAACACTACTGAAAAAAACAGCATCATGGGATACAAATGCGTAGATGTTTTAAGTAGGGTTAGTCTTTAATGTCCCAAGAGTTGATCCTCTCCCAGAGTACTTTTGAACACATCCTGCTACAATTAAGACATCACAATTTAACAGATAACCTGCCAATAGAGGACAACCATCTAAATGGTCAGGTTTAAGGAAAGCAGCCAAGCGACGAGTAAAGGAGTTTAAGAGTTTTTAAGCTCAGGTGAGAAAATCAGTTCACTGGAGATTTATTTGTCACACACTTGAAAGATCTGTCTTTTCTGGAAAAATGGTAAGACAATACCATTCTTGGAGGACAGGCAAAAGACATCACATTAAAGTAAGAAATACAGAGAACACAATACATGAACAAGGTCTCTAATTCAAATTAAGCCAAAAAATAAATTTTTCATCCCACATGCAAGACTTTATACTATAGGGGACAGAAAGTATTCTCGAGGTCACCCTAAAACATCATCTGCAGGTACCAGCATGGTGATGGTAGCATGATGCTTTGTGGTTGATTCTCTTTAAAAAGAAAAAAGCACAACGCTGTGAGATCAATATAGTCAATCAATCAATCAATCAACCAATCAATCAGTCAAGCACTGGCAGTGAGTTCTTAGAAAGAACAGCAACATAAATTTTGCAAGTTAAGATGACCAAACACTGGGGCACAAGTTAACTTTCCAGTAAGAGCAACAGTAACAAAAGAATATACAGTCGGAACTACAAAGGAATTGTACATAGCATAGATATTAATTTGTTAGAAAGGTCTAATAAAAATGATCTATTATTAATTTCCAATCTATACATACTTATTTGAAATCAATCAAATGAAATCAACCACAACACAGGCTTAAATCATAGCCAACCAGACATCCCTTTATTTTTTTCTGAAAATGTTTTGACATCTACCCAGGAGTCTTTGTCATTTAGTTGGCTTGCTAGATCTTTTTGTAAAACTGCACGAAAGTCGGCCTGCCTCCAATTTAGGCCTATTTTGTGGTTGCCAGGACCCAGATGACTGAGAATCTGCACAGGCAAATCATATTAGATTTTAATATAATAATAAAAGATTAAGGTTAAAATGTACCAAAATTGAAAAAGCTTAAATGGCATGAATTATTTTCTTTTTTTTTCAAACTATACAACAGTAGCTTATGTATTTGCATTTTGCCAGTGTAGTATTGCACATAAGTATGTGTTTGTTTATAACATGCTTTTGTCAGTCCTAAATAGTACAAACACCTGTCTGAGTTACAGTGTGGAAGAATGACCCACAGTTAAAGCAGTGGGTTTGGGGGGGGGGTTACTCAAGCCACAATCTGCTTGGTATGTTTTGGTTAGAAGAATGTTGTACACATGTTCTATGCATAGTGAAAGCAAACCAACGCAGGCATGATCTGGTGTTAAATGAATCATCTGGGTAATAGGTGCAGCTTGAAGCCTCAAAATAAATCGCTTCTAATCATTCTTAGATCCTGCAGCACAGATTTAGGCAATGATTTGTGTGTTAAGTTACAGTATTTGGCTGTGTCTGGACAGTATGTACTGTATGTGCATCTGTGTTTACCTGATGTGTCATCAAGGCTGAAGGCTATTCTAACTTCAGATTTATCAGGAGATACTCTTCTGGTTGAGGTGATCATTTATTCCTTTGGGAGAAAAGAGAGCTGTTAACATAATCCAAAACACTTCATAGAAGGAGAAAGTTTTTGAGATGCACAGATCAGAATTTTGTAGTTTACTCCTTATTTCTGGATTTTGTTAGACTTTGAGCTGCCAATACAGACTTTGGTCTGTTCCAGATTTTGAGAATGATACAATGCACAGGAACTTCAGTCATTGTTATTTTTAAAGGGAATTCTATATGAGTAAGAGAGTGTAACTGTTCATGAAGTTGCTGCACTTATTTAAGGATAAAAATAAATAAATAAAACAAGATTGATATTTTACCTTTGCTGTAACATTTCATAACATTTTCTAATTATTTCAAAAAAATTAACCATAACAGATAAACACCTGCAACCTGGTAGCATTTTAAGCATGCTACCATATTTCTGCTGACAACCTGGTAGCATGTTTTTTTCTGATCAATTGATCTGAGAAAGACAATGAATTTTTAAACCTGGTAGCCTGGTAATTTTTAAACCTGGTAAATCTTGTAGGATCCACTAAAATATTCTAATAGGTGAAGAGTGGACCTTTTCATGCATCAGTATTTAATTTTTGCTTGTTTTGTTTAGAAATGCAGACAAAATAGAAATAGAAACACAAATTATCAGTGGTCCTTTATTGCTGTATTTTATTCTTTATGTGTATTTGCCTTTTCTTATATTGTGTAACATTTTAGTATGTGCTTTGATCTTTGGGTTATTGTATGTCCTGATGTTCTTTACTATCAGCATATACTCTGCCCAAAGAAATAAGGCGGAACGCTCAATTAACACATCCTAGATCTCATCCTATTCTCATTGAATACTTTGTTCTGTACACAGTTGAATATACTGACAACAAAATCACACAAAAATCATCAATGGAAATCAAATGTATTAATCAATGAAGGCGTTGATTTGGAGTCACATACAAAATTAAAGTGTAAAAACACACTAAAGGCTTATCCAACTTTGATGTCATCTCCTTAAAACAGGTCAAAATTAGGCTCAGCATAGTTTGCGGCCTCCATGTGCCTGTATGACTTTCCTACACCTTATGAGGTGGCTGATCTCCTCCCAAACCTAGACTAAAGTATCTGACAACTCCTGGACCATTGTCATGATCTTGGCACAGATGACTGGTCTGATTACTCTTTTAAGTCACCTGCCTATCTCTGCCCACTTCTATTAACCGCTCATCTAATCCACCTGCTTCAGCCTCTATTTAGCCTTCAAAACAGTCATCAGCGCCAGATTATTGGAGCCTGTTGTGAGAGTTCTCTAGCCTACCCGAGTGTTCTGCTTGCCTGATCCTGACCCGTTCTGCCTCTCAACCTCTGAGCCTGACTGTCCCCATTCTGATCTCTTTGCCTGACATGTCTTTGGGCTCCTGCCATATTTCTGCCTGTCTGTTAATGGAACCTGGAACTGTTCCCATATTACCAAGTATGTCTTCGACACTGGCTTTAGCTTCGCCCTCTGGATTACCCTGCCTTCCTTCATCTGCTCGGTTCTGATCTCCTGCCTGTCCTCTGAGAAACCAGCGCCTGGGACTCTCTGGGCAGCACCTGTCAAGTCTCGATGGCAGCCCACTGGCTGGAACCAACCTCATCCAGGTTAATTACTCACATGTTCATTATCATCTGCCAGATAGATGTGGTCACTAACCTGTGGTCTCCTCCTGCAGAGGTTCCTGGCTTAGACGCTTTTCACTGTAGTTCCGTCTTAAATAACTGTTTTGATATATCTGTCTGTCCACCTCAAGTACTGGGTCCTTTATTCTGAGCCTGACGGACAGTCTGTGGTGAAACATGATGTTGGTGGATAGATCGAGACATGATGTCGGCGATGTGCTCATTAGGATTCAGGTCTTGGGGACAGGCAGACAATAGCCTCAATGCCTTTATCTTGCAGGATCTGCTGACACATTCTATCCACATGAGGTCAAGCATTGTCCTGCATTGAGATGAACCTAGGGCCGACCGCACCAGCATATGGTCTCACAAGGGGTCTGATGATATATCCAATGGCACTCATGCGACCACTGGTAAGCACATGGAGGGCTGTGTTACCCTCCAAAGAAATGCCACCCCACACCATTTCGGATGCCCTGCATGCAACATCCATCATGCTGAAGGATGTTGCATGCAGCAGATCGCTCTTCAAACTCTGTCACATCCCTCAGATGTGCTCTGCTGGAACATCTTTTCATCTGTGTAGAGCACTGGATGCTTGAGGTGAATTTGCCAATCCTAATGTCCTCTGGCAAATGCCTGTCTACCTGCACAGTGTTGGGATAGGAGCACAACCCCTCATACTGTCCTCATGTGGTTCTCTGTTTCTAACATCAGTGCAGACACATGCACAATTGTAGCCTGCTGGAGGTCATTTTGCAGGGCTATGGCAGTGCTCCTCCTGTTCCACCTTGCACAAAGGTGGAGGTAGCAGTCCTGCTGCTGGATTGTTACCCTCCTATGGCTTCCTCCACGTCTCCTGGTATACCGTCCTGTCTCCTGGTAATCCTCCTCCAGCATCTGGATATTACGCTGACAGAAAAGTAAAGCAAACGTTCCTGCTAAAGCTCGTATTGATGTGCCATCCTGGATGAGCTGCACCACCTGAGCCACTTGTGTGGGTTATAGAGTCCGTCTTATGGTACCAAAAGTGTGATAGCACCACCAACATTCAAAAGTGACCAAAAACATCAACCAAAAAGCATGGGTTACTGAGCAGTGGTCTGTGGTCCACACCTGCAGAACCACTCCTTTATTGAGTGTTCCTTGCTAAGTGCCAATAATTTCTACCTCTTGTCTATTCCATTTGCACAACAGCATGTGAAACTGATTGTCAATTAGTGAGACTTCTTAATTGGACAGTTTGATTTCCCAGAAGTTTGATTTTATTTAAGTTAGACTATGTTGTTTTCATGTTCCCTTTATTTATTTTTTTTAGCAGTGAATAAATTTTGGGAAAAAAAACAATTTTGCACTTTTTTATCGTATGCACTATTTCAAATGCAATTCACCATACTAAACTATATATCAACAACATAAAATATCCAAGTTTAACCAGCAAGTTAAAAAGAATACTGAAGCCAGCAGGTGTTGTGTCAAATTGCAATTAAAGTGAGTGCAGAATGTTTGATAAGGCATGTGATAAAACTGCTCTTGGGGCTCTTATAAATACACCAACAGACGACAGCTCAAAGAACCACCAGTTTCGTCATGCATTTAGAGTTGCAGAGGGATTAAATAATTACAGAGCTTTGAGAGACTGGTGATGAGTGCTGCATGACCCTTTCGGTGGAGGTACAGGCTTTTTATATCTGGGCATTTGTCTCCTTTAACCCCACTCTCCTCACTCCACTCTTTCCCAACAACCTTCTATAAAAAACAATCTCTTGAAAGTCTCTTAAAACTAAAAATTGTGCCTTGCCTCTAAGACTACAAAATTTGATTATTTTTGCTTGTAAATGCACAGTTTGACATATCTGAACTGCAATGGACACATAATTTTACTTGCATGATGTTAGAAGAAGTAATACATTCCAAAAAGTCATTTTTACCTGAAGCAGATCCAAATGGAGCCAGAAAATTCAGTTGCCTACAACAAATTTAAAATCCAAACAGCTTGGTTAGTCCTCAGGGGGCAAGGACTGGGTCTTCCCTTGATTTCTCTTCTTATGTCAGCCGTTACCAGTCATGCGCAAATCCAGATCAGCAAAAATGGCACAGCTAGTGTCTTATCACAACGCCTGTACTTTTGAAACTCTATTTTATTTACTATAAAGTTTAATTCAAGATGTTCACCTTGCTCATGTCAGCTGTTAATGTCACCCGCAGCCTAAGTTTGCTTGGGCATGCATGTGTTATCCCTGACTGCAGCCACGCGGAGTGGAGTAAACTCGGTTTGCAGGCAGGCGGGCAGAGCAGGAATGCTGTTCGCTGTCCCCCTGTGGCGGCTCAGGCCCAATTAAATGTCTCATATGACATGACTTTAGCCTGAAAAAATGCCCGCAGCTCCAGCTCTCACTTGAGTGACACACTCATCCCGTTGGGATTGACATTCGCTTTGCAATAGCACTGCAATGAGGCAGTTGTTCAGAGTAAGCATCTAATGTTTGCTCTCATGGAGACCCCCTGACCCTGCGTGTGAAATACCCTAAGACTAACCCTAACTATAAGTACACAGACACGTTGCTTTAAAAATATTATGAAAACAGAAGAGCAAATCTACAGATCAGGGAGAAGTGATAAAGAGTAAAGCAGTGTAGAGTTGATAAACAGAAGGTTTGCGCATTCATAGAGCTCCATTCAATTCAAGATGTAAAAATGCAATAAGTGTGGAAGAAATGCAAACCTACGGAGATATGGATCTCCATCCATAAAGTTCAGTGTTAGAGCAAATGAGAGGCCCTAGGTACATTCAATGGAGATTCACGGATCCATTATTTCAGGTGAAGAAAGTCAGGGAACAGGACAACAATAGCTCTGTGTATTC